CAAAACTGTTTTTTAATATACATATATTGATAACTAAAAATAGTGATGATGTATGCAATGCGTTGTAAGTGGCGTGGTTTATTTTCATGTTTCGTATTAATTTATTAATGCACAATTCCATAAATTAATATTTAATTATGAACCTAAATTATCGAATAGAAAATTACAGATATTTATAAAAAGAGGGGAGACTATATTATCGGCGTAGTTCTATCATATCAGTAGCTTCCTGTATTGTCCTATTTTCGCTGGCTCAAACGAGTAAGATGTCGCTAAACTGCAGAAATTTCACGACAATCACGACTAGTATCGGTCGTATCGGCTAACGAAGGATGGAATTTCTCGTGAATTTGATAAGCCGTCATTTAGCTTATTTTAGTGCTCTCGAACGGTCTATATTAAACCTCCGTTCGCTTTTTCTGTTTTGAAGTTCTGTGAATATTTTTTTGAATTTCGAATCATTTTTAGACATTTATTCTATCTTCAAAGATATTTGTCAGCTTAAGTATCATACGTTATCGTTAAAATGAGTAATCAAAAAGCAGTGCCAAATTCAATAAAGTTCCTTTTTGGTGGAACAGCAGGGTTTGTTTTTTATTATTATTTTATACAATCTATTTATCGAAAAGGACATCTGAAAGTCGTTAAGAAATTGAAAGAATGGCTTATTCAACTAGACACTTGTTTTACTTCTGAGAAATGTTAATACTATTTAGCTTATTTTAGTGCTCTCGAACGGTCTATATTAAACCTCCGTTCGCTTTTTCTGTTTTGAAGTTCTGTGAATATTTTTTTGAATTTCGAATCATTTTTAGACATTTATTCTATCTTCAAAGATATTTGTCAGCTTAAGTATCATACGTTATCGTTAAAATGAGTAATCAAAAAGCAGTGCCAAATTCAATAAAGTTCCTTTTTGGTGGAACAGCAGGGTTTGTTTTTTATTATTATTTTATACAATCTATTTATCGAAAAGGACATCTGAAAGTCGTTAAGAAATTGAAAGAATGGCTTATTCAACTAGACACTTGTTTTACTTCTGAGAAATGTTAATACAAAATCATTGTAGAAACAAATTCAATATATTTTAGATACTTATATGATGTACTTGTTACAAGTTGTATATTGTTAAACCATAATCGCTTAGAATTTTAAAAAGTATAAGCATTAGCTTTTTGAACTAATTTTAAATATAAAAATCGCTCCACAGCTTTTCAATTGTCAATGGGCAATGCGCATACTTGCAAACAATTGACTATCTTATTCCAGAATGGCTGCAACGTGTTTTGTCCAACCATTAGACTTAATAAAAAATCGAATGCAATTGAGCGGCACAAGAGTATCAACCATCAGTGTAATATCATCAATACTTAAAAATGAGGGTGTCTTAGCTCTTTATTCAGGGTTATCTGCTGGTTTGTTACGTCAGGGCACATATACAACTACAAGGCTTGGTATATATACCTGGTTGTCTGAAGTAGCTTCGTAAGTACTTGCCTGATAAATTAATGTAAACAATGTGAAGAAAGTATATCACATATACTATCTGCATTTGTTTTCTGTGCCCAGAAAAGATAGCCAACCAAATTTTTTTATGAAAGCCTTAATAGGTAGTACTGCTGGTTGTGTAGGAGCATTTGTAGGTACTCCTGCTGAAGTTGCCCTAATTAGAATGACTGCTGATGGCAGACTACCTATTGGTACGCCTATATTGTCAATCTCGTTCGACAGAGATTTCATAATCGTGACCCAATATTATATTTTTAGCTGAGAGACGCAATTATACAAATGCATTTAATGCATTGTTTAGAATAGCTAGAGAAGAAGGCTTTTTAGCATTATGGACAGGTACTGTCCCAACAATGGGGAGAGCTATGGTTGTAAATGCAGCTCAGTTAGCATCATATTCTCAGTCTAAAGAAATGTTACTTAATACTGGTTCGTAGAGACATGCACATGATTAGTAATCATATAAGTAACATCAGGCTAATGTCCTTTTCTATCTATTTGAGTAGGATATTTTGCGGATGGTATTACCTTACACTTCGTAAGTTCTATGATATCAGGTTTAATAACAACTGCTGCTTCTATGCCAGTTGATATTGCTAAAACAAGGTAAATATTTGATCGAACTAAACTGTAAAACAGGTGTGGAATGCTTTCACAGGTTGCATTATTAATAACTTACAGGATTCAGAACATGAAAGTTGTGGATGGTAAACCAGAATTTAAAGGTGCAATAGACGTGATAATTAAGGTGTGTCGAAATGAAGGGATATTTTCATTATGGAAAGGATTCTTCCCTTACTATGCTCGCTTAGGTCCACATACTGTTCTAACATTTATATTCCTAGAACAAATGTTTAGTTTTTATAAAGGATATGATTCATAACAATTTAATAGAAAAATCCGAAGAAAGTTTCAAAGAAAGGTCTATATACTTGTTAATTGATATCTCTTTTGTCTATATTTCATTTGATATCTTTATTTCATGTTTTTAAAAGTATACAATACTCCGTTTACTAATATTTGACTAGATGTATCACACGCACAAAGTTTGTTACTTTTATCTTTAACATTGGATACCTACTAATTGTGTGTGCATAGCATGATTTTAAACTTTGTCGTGACTCTGACTACAATTTTAATTAATTTTAACAAACGCGATATAATTTATATTTATAAACAGGAATTCCTACTGCCATATGAACAGTACATTCTAGAAACATTCTGAAAATTTATTGTTGTTTTAATATGTTATGTAAACAATGTTTTTTTTGTGAAATTTATATGAGACAATGTAATGAGAAGGCAATTAAAAAGTGCTATCAGTTTCCTATTTGTATATGTATTCCACTTATGTAAAATAAATCATTGTTATGTAAATAACTGTTAAATAAATGAAAACAAATATTTTCGTGTATATAATAATGTGTTCTTTTGTTTACATTAACGGTTTATTTATTTATTTATTGGAAAAGTAAAACATATCAATTATTGGACGCATTTCGCTCACATATTTAGTACAGCATAGTTAATGGGAGTAATGAGACTCAAGTGAAGTGACCTTTCGTCTCGTATTTCGTATTATATTGACCGCGATACATACCGTAATATGTTGAATGCTGAATGTCGAATATAGCATTGTAAATCGATCAACATGGATAATCTATACTTCGTACATGAGCATTATGTTCAACGTTATTTAAATATTTTACCTATTCAATCAACCCAAATTGTATGGAATGTTTTATACTTTTATAAGGTTATACGATGACTTTTTATCATTCGAACTTAGTTGATGGCACATGTTTAAGTAAATTCAATAATTATGAACATTTATCAAATTTCTAATTAGCTCGTATTTTATTTTAAATTATAATGTCGAGAAAGAAAAAAGGTGAAGCGTGGGGAGAAAATGGATTTGAAGATTGGGTACGTAAAAAGTACAATTGACAATAATTAGATTCAGATGTACGATATAAGTTAATTTTAGGGTGGATATATGGCTGCTAAACAAGCAAAACTGGAAGAACAATTTCATGATGAAGCAAACCAGGAAATTAAAACGTCAAATATATTTGAAGGAGTTTCAATTTTTGTAAATGGATACACTGATCCGACTGCAGATGAACTTCGTCGTTTAATGATGGGACATGGGGGTACATATCATCATTATATGAGACCTAGAGGAACCACTCACATTATTGCATCCAATTTACCATATTCTAAAATAATAATGTACAAGAAAAGTCAAAACCCAGTACCTATCTGTAAGCCTGAATGGATTGTGGATAGCATAAAAGCTAATAAGCTTTTAAATTTCCAGAACTATTTGCTTTATTCACAGTGCTCAGATGTGCAACCTGCATTAAAATACATAGTAACAAGTAAAGAAAACAAAACAAATTTTCCTGTGCGAAATACTACAAAAAAAGATAAAGTAGATAGTTCAGAAAATGATAATAATGATAAAATTGAAATCCCAAAAGAGTCCATGATGAAACCAAGTACATCAAATTCTGCAGTACCAATGAATTCAAGAGAAACTAATTCGACAAAAAATTCAGAATTTATATCAGAATTTTATAGCCATTCAAGATTGCATCATATATCAACAATGGGTGCAACGTTCAAAGAATATGTTAATGAATTAAGAGATAAAAGCACTGGAAAATTTCCTGGTCTTGATAAATTAAAAGTATTAAGGAATTCTACACTAAATGAATCATTACTTGATTCTCAATCAAGCTTCTATTTACAAGAAGACAACAGAACACAGGCTAATCAATCTCCTATAATAATGCACATAGATATGGACTGTTTTTTTGTCTCAGTTGGCCTTAGAGATAGACCAGAATTGAAAGGCTTTCCAGTGGCCGTAACGCATGCAAAAGGAAACAGAAATTTTTCGAGCAATAGCAAACAAACTTTGGATAATAAAGATGAAGAACATGGTTCATTATCAGAAGTAGCATCGTGTTCCTATGAAGCTAGAAAAGCTGGGGTGAAAAATGGCATGTTTTTAGGAGAAGCATTAAAAATATGCCCCAATTTAAAGACAATAGCATATAATTTTGAAGGCTATACTGAAGTCTCTTACATGTTGTATGATACAGTAGCATCATATACACTGGATATCGAAGCAGTCAGTTGTGATGAAATGTATGCGGATTGTACACAAATTTTACAAGCATCCGGATTAACACCAATGGAATTTGCAACTGTTATTAGGCATGAGATAAAAGGCAAAACAGGTTGTCCTGTGTCAACAGGTTTTGGAAGTAATAAATTATTAGCTAGATTAGCAACAAAGAAAGCAAAGCCAAATGGTCAGTTTTATATACAGCAAGGACATATTAATGATTGCATTAATACCTTGAATGTGCAAGACTTGCCAGGTAGAATATTGTGAATTGATTGGGATTTTAATATGCCATATTCTATTGTTCTTTAGTAATGAGATTAATTTTTATATTAGGAGTCGGATGGTCAACAACACATAAATTAAATAGCATAAATATACGAACGTGTGCAGAATTGCAAACGATTTCATTGGCAACGTTACAAAAAGATTTTGGCAAAAAGACAGGTGAATTATTGTACAATATTTGCCGTGGTATAGATAATTCGAAGCTTAATTTAGAACATGTAAGAAAATCGGTCTCCGCGGAGGTCAATTATGGTATAAGATTCGAATCAGATAACGATGCAATAGATTTCTTAAAGAAATTATCTTGCGAAGTATGCAATCGACTAAGTAAGGCAAACGCGAAGGGTAGATGTATTACATTAAAGCTTCTAATTAGAGCAAAAGAGGCACCTAGAGAAACTGAAAAATTTATGGGGCATGGGATGTGTGATTACATGACAAAGTCAAAGAATCTTGTCGCTCCTATAAATGATGTTGAGATTGTAACGAAGTAAGTTAACTAGTACTAGTTTTTATACAATAGGTAGTAAGATAATTTATTTTTCGGGTATGCTTTAGGGAAGTCATCGCACTTTGGAATCAAATGCAAAAACCACCTGAAGACGCAAGAGGAATTGGTATACAAATATCTAGATTAGAAATATTAAAAAGTAAAGCTCGCAGTGGAACTATAATAAATTTTATCAACAAAAATAAGCAAGATAGTAAGATAAATAAATCTAATGAAATAAATAAAAATAATGAAACTCAATTTTTAACAAATGCAAATACCGATATGTCAGATTCTGGAATTGGATCTGTCAATACCGAACTAAAATTACACGTTTCATCTGGTATCAGCGAGTCGGTTCTTTCTGAACTTCCAGAAGATATACAAAATGAGATTCTGGATATTAATAAAAGTAAAAGTATGACAACAGATAATAAAGATACTAGAACTGTTAATATAGAAAATCTGAATAAGAAATCATCAGAAAAGAATATACAAACGCGTCAAGATAATTTTTTTAAACAAACTAAATCTGGCATTTCAAGACCAGCAAAGGTAGAAATGCCACCTATTCAAGACATCGATATGTCAGTTCTGATAGAATTACCCGAAAGTATACGGAACGAAATTCTTAATGAATATAGTGCTACAAAAAATCGGGATCAGAACAATGTTACTACAAATCAGAACAGTGCTTCTTCGTCTTCAATTAACAATGAAATTCCAGCAGAAATAAACCGTGATGAGCAAAATATATCTTTTTCACAAGTAGATCCAGAATTCTTAGCCGCATTATCGGAAGATTTAAGACGCGATGTTCAAATGTATTGCACTAGCAAAAAAGCCGAGTGTTCAAAAAATAAAACTGATGAGGCAACTCGCAATATTGGATTACTAAACGTTGAAACTAAGAAGCCAGAACAAAAAAATAAGAACGGTAAAAATGGCAAAATTATACTTCAAAAGAGTAAGAAAAAACATGTGAAAACTGTAATCAAATCAACAAAAACTGTGAATGATTGTGAGAATATGCCAGATATAAAGAAAAGTAATATAAAATCTCTGATACCGTCCGTAACGAAACAGAAGTCGAATGATCAAATTACTGCAGCTGAAGCTGAGGCTATTCTTTCTCATAATCGTACTATCGCAGAAGACAATGATAATATGAATCCACATCAAAACGTTTTAATCAGTCTCGTAAATCGTTTGCTTAATCTACCTTTAGAGCAGGTAGGGTTTACAATTTTTATTTTCCTATCTTTTATTTGAATGATAGCTTAAAAAATGTTAGAGCGATAAGACTATTTAATTTCGATTAAATTAATCGATGTATGGGGTAAGGGATGCATGCTCGGTAATGTATCTGATTGTTATATTTTACAAACATTTCCTGCAGAATTAATGCAGATATAAAATATTTGGTATTGCAGGTGAAAATGCAAATACAAATGTGGATCACTAATTCTAATATCATAAACGAAGTAGATTTTTTATCGCTTGCAACATTTCTTAGCATGCTACCGGAAAAGAAACGCATTGAAGATTTACATGTCTTATTGAAAACCATGCACAGGTAATCTATATTCTCTATTCAATATTCATACATACACCCTTATAACAGGTGGACATTAATATAACACAGAGGATTTAGGGAATAGATATTATTTTACTCATTTACGGCTGTTAAATAAAAACGATATTAAAGATAATACATTAACTTATTTATGTTCGCATTTTTAGATGTATGACAAAAAGTGGAAATTGCATTTGGCATAGGACATATAGGAAAACAGTAAAATACGTTCAACATTATATGCAAATTGAGTATAACAGCAACCTAATGGTACCACCAATCAAATGCAACCTTTTGCAATGTAACAATGATGTAATGTAAACCCTTCGGAATTTAATAAATTAATATTTTTACAATGAGGTTAATAAGAAACCTATTTACAAGCAAACATGATACTTACCTTCAATTTCATTGAACACAGTATCAGTATTATTAGGTAACATATTAACTTACAGTTGAGAGAACATATTTTTTTTAAAGTACTTTGCTCAAAGGTTTCATATAAATCGGTAAGAAGTCATAAACTTCGGATTCGTACGTATTTTTGTAATATATATATATATATATATCTATATATATTTTTAAATATATTTTTTACTTTGTTATTGTTACGCGCTGGGAAGGTGAAAAAATAGAAAGGGTAAGTCAGAGATGAGCGTTTACTACTCCCATTCGGTAGTTCCTGGCGGTTTGGATGTTAAGTCGTATAAAACACGCGAGATACCGGGTATTGAAGATATTTCGGTCACCATTTTCTTCACCACCTACGGGCACGATTTATTGTTAATTTTTCAGTTCTGTAACAATTTCGCTCTTGCGATATATTGAACTACTTACATGGAGCGGCAACTCCTCCCCAGGAATAGCTGGAGTGCCAGTCATAAAATCGTTAGTAACAAATGGCCTAAGAACGACTGATCGTTGGCATGAAGGTATTCGAGAAGCAGCGTCACGATCGAAGTGTATGGGAATTAAAACTACTGGCATCTGACTGATTGCTCCCATACAGCCGTTGGTAGCTAGTACTAAATTTGCTACATGATCCACTTGTCGTAGCGTAGCTATCACGTTCGATGTAAGATGAGTCAGTGTGATATCCGTTACAGGATGATGTATTTGAGGGCCGAAGATGAAGCATACACGATTTACATTATGACATACACGTGGAATTAATTTAGCGAGGAACAACAAATCCTTCCACTCTATTCCCTCGGACAAGTTTTCTTCGCTAGATAAGCCTACTACATAGCTATAACTTCTTCGATCTCCCTAAGAATGAAATAAATATTTCATTCGTCAATCAAGGTTCACTGAATTTTTACATTATCAGTAGAGAATGTTAAAAATTCTACCTGCACTCCTACACTGCGTATAGGCAAAAGTGTTGCGGAAATATGACGGTAACTAGAGAGCTGTCTCAAATATTGACGTTCAGATTCACTCGTCGCGCCTTCCACACGGTTCAATAATCCATGCTTTTTTTGAAGCATTTGCTCGTATTCTGCCATTATTTTAACTATCACCTTAAATTAATTCAATTGTAAACTTATTATTTTATAATAACACTGTTTAAAGTCGCCACGAAACAAAGATATACCTGCGTTTCCGAGAAATCTTTATCCATATAAGGTTCATCTGCACACAGAATGCGTACGGCAAGACCAGGCCCGGGAAACGGGTGACGAGTAACCAGTGGTGCTGGCAAGCCAAGATCACATCCTAATTGTTTGACTTCATCCTTATGAAAATCTTTTAATGGTTCTACTACTTGTCCTTGTGATCTCAACGTTCTAACAAGTTCACTATCATTGTGATGTGTTTTTATTGCATCTGCTTTTCCTGACAGAAGCGTTTATATTTTATGAGAATACTTTTCTCTTGCTTAGTAATAGATATAAAAAATAACAAAGTTACAGTTATCAATTTACCACTAGCTAATGCACTCGCACTTTCTATAAGATCAGGCCTTAGAGTGCCTTGCCCAAGGAACACTTCTTCTGGCTTGAGACCCATCTCTGCCATTGCTTCATTGGCTACTCTTACAAAAACATCTCCTATAATTTTTCGTTTCTCTTCTGGATTGGTTGTTTGACATAACATTTTAGTTACTCTTGTTCTCGGACTAGTTGCAGTCCCGCATATTCCTTTATTATTAATGGTATTTGCATTGGCTACGGGCGTTACATTATCTAAGGGTACCGTTGTAGTTCCTTGCATGAAGTACCGTCCAGCATTTATGACTTTTAATCGGATTCCCAATTGTGCAAAAATTTGTTCCACATATTGTGACTCCGCTTTCCGCAAAAAGCCGTTATTGATATGCAGAGCTATGACTTGATCCTTATTTAAAGCTTTATGCAACAGTGCTGCACATACTGTAGAATCCACACCTCCGCTCACTAATAACTATGATCGTTTTTTTCTATTTTAATTGATATTTTCCAAGATTGGTTACATTTTATATAATTATTACAAGTATCACAATTCTAAGAATCTTTTTTCACAAATTACAGATTCTAATAATAATTAAAATATATATAAATGTGTATCTTACCAGAACTTTCTTGTTGCCAACTGTATCTTTGATGTATTGAATACACTGAGCCTCCCGGCCGCGAAGTGTATAATTGCCAGTAAGGCCGGCAATCCCAAACAAAAAATTGTGCAGCATCGTTTTTCCATTAGGTGTAAGATCTACTTCTGGGTGAAATTGTACTCCATACAAATTCATTTTATCACTCGCTATTCCTGCTATAAAGTTTGATGATCTGGCAGTAATGTGAAAATTATCAGCCACCCTATCTATACTGTCTCCATGTGTTAGCAATACCATTTGTTCTTTTTCCAAGCCCCTGATAGATATTTTTTTATAAATACATCATACTCTAAAGATAAAAATTATCCAGTGCACGTTCTTTTGCATTTACTTACTTAAATAACAGGCACTTGGAATCTATTTCAATTGGAAATTGGCCATCTTCTCGACCATCCTTACTAATTACCGTGCCACCAAACTCCTTGTTTATCATTTGCATGCCATAACAAATACCTAGTACTGGAATACCTATTCTGAAAATATCTGCATCATATTTAGGTGCATCTTCTGCATACACCGAACTTGGACCTCCAGAAATTATAATAGCTCTAAAAATTTAGAATTGAAATAATAGGTGCTGTTTAACATGAACATCATATTTTAATTACAATGATGACCGTACTTATAGCCTTTTTCTTGAAGGGTAAATGCAGACGTGTCGAGAGGCAGAATTTCACTATGAACATTTAATTCACGAATTTTGCGATCGATCACTTTCCCATACTGCGCTCCTGCATCCAGGATCGCCACTTTTTCATCACAAGCCATGCCCAGTGTTCCTTCACTAGCCCCATTATTTCTCTCTGCGCGAAACAATAATCCATCCGCGCTTTTTTCCATTTCAGAATTTCTGATATTGCTATTGCTATTGCTGTGATTTCAATAATCCTATAAAATTTTCACATAAGTTTACTAATCCCATTAAACCTAATTGTAATTAAGAACACGCAAATACGTAAACAATGAAAAGTACATAAGAATGTCTTTGAAATCTCTAACGATATATATCTGCTATAATCCCATAAGAAATTAAATAATAAATCCCATCTGTTAACATTTGAATAGCTGTCAAAATATGAAAATAGAGAAGACAAATATATTTCTGATCATGTTTAATACATAACACCAAGGCTAAATATATTACAAAAAGAAGAAAAGATCTTGTTCTGTGTATTATCACTTGTAAATGGGTCATGATCTTATTAGTAAATAATCATAGGTCAGAGACGTTATTCGAGTGTGACTGTGTACGAATTGCTTCATCATTTCAATCTTACTAAAAACAGATGATTAAGATTGAATCATATATCACATTCGCAAATATAATTATTTCCTATTTTAATAACATTTTGAAACAATTTTTGTAATAAATAGAGAAATTTTCCAGATCTCGCTTCTATGAACAATAGCTAAAAGACATGTAATGTGTAAATATAAAAGATGCTATTATGTACTGCTACTCAATATAAGTTCTGACAACTACTGTATATTAGAGGTATTTTATTTAATCCTCACAATTCTTTAGAAGTATGCAGACATATATTTTATACAGTTTGTGGAACGACTGAAACAATGTTTAAGGGAAAACTATTAAATATGATGTTTAACAAAAAATAAATAACCGGCCGTAAATTTTACGAGCACGTTTCTTAGAAATGGAAGTACTATAATAGCATAATCACTATACAAATCATTTTCTTAATCGCTAGCGAAGTATATCGAGAGACTTACCAAATTATATGAGACAGAGAATATTTCACGGACAAATCACCAAGTAACGTAAAATTAATTACAGCAAAATAGAATGTGCACCCTTTTGACGAGGCAGCCATTCAATCGCCTGCAATAGCCATAGCCACAATCAGACATCAGGCTACCTTCAGCTTGAAAGTCTTAGAGTAAACCAATATTACAATTTGAAAGTTCCTAACAAAGAAGTGACAAGAAACCTGATATTTAGCCTCCGATAAATTCTTCCATAAAAATGGCACTTCGATCATTAATAAGGCAATTCTTTATGTATCTAATGAAATCTTTTGTATAATAATTGTTCTTTTGGTTACTAACTTCGCTCACAACACAACTTACCTAGATCATTTATCGAATATACGAATGACATGAACATAGTAAAGAATACATTTAAGTAGTAAAATTTAGCATTTATATTTATTGAATAATGAGTATAGCTGCGCTTATATTATAGTTTTAACATACACTTACATGACAGTACGTGGAGGGGTAGTTTTTCTATTTTCTTTATTAACAGATAGGAACAGGTACTTTTTATTTTGTGTTTACTTTATATATAATTCTATAATTTCATGTATATATGACTTAACTTCAACAAATCTAATGTAACCTACTTATACTCGCTCAAAAATAAAATCGTAGAAGTTAATGAACATAATTCCTATTTTTTGTATTATGTAATATGTGAATAATTTGATTTTTACTTCTTTATTGAACTGTAAGGCCCAATTTCTTTTTATCCTTATTTTATCATAAGTGAAGGAGGTATTATAAAGAGATTATAAAAGTTTCCTTGCGTTTAAAAATTTTGAAATTGTTATTGGAGTTAGAATATATATTGATCAAACATGACGCGAAACTCATTGCTATCTTCTATTCAATCACATTGAATACTTTACAAGAAACCTACACGAAGGAAAATTCTCAATAGCGAACCAGAAACTTACAATTAGATTCGTGAATAACTTAGCAAAAACTTCCCGACCTTTCATAACACTTTTTAATTTATAATTAGGAAAATCAATTTTATCTAAAAATTAATTTGTTTCTATATTTTTATCGAATATTGTATAGTAAAGAGAAATGTTTTCCGCGTCTACACGACGCCTCTAATCGCGTGTATTATTTTTCGTACCGATTATGCGAGACACATAAAAAATAATCAACACCGCGGGCTGATTAAATGCATTATTCACATTCAACCGTACACAGTGTAAATTCATGACTGCCCACATTTCGGTAACGTGAGAATATAATTTTCAGCATTCCAAGCAATTTTACTGGAAACGCAGAAGTGTATGATCGATACCTACGATCGAGCGATAATGATTAGAATGAAACGTATGTATAGCTTATTGTGAGCTACCTGGTTCCGAAAGACGCGTGATGTCCGTCCAGTAGTCGTGTCCAATATGGCGTGTGTATTGTGAATTGTATTAACGTGCAGGTAAGTTGATTCAATTTTTCACAACTTACACGGACAAATAAATTAAAAAGCCGAATATCCGAGAAATATACGATTGTCATTTTTCGGGATTGTAAATATTTCCATTCATAAATCATTCGATCAGATATTGAGAGCTTTTCCCTTAAAGTATGTGAACTTTGTCAACCTTTGCACCTTCAAGGTCCGTTTGTCGTGGTGCATTGCGATGACAGGTGTCTCGTGTAGAAAAAACGTTATTGAATTACATTGGTTTGCTATAAATTCATAATTTGTCTGTATAAACAAGTAATTGTTTTTTCCGTAATGAGAATTTGCTACGTGATAAGCTCTGTTGTTGGCAGTTGTTATTGTAGTCTGAATGGAGCACAGCTGCAATTAGGCAGACTGAAGCAACAATCATCAAAACCAGCGAAAATATGGAATAAGTTATATAGATTAAATGGCATCAAACATAGTTGATAAAGTTCTTCTGACAAACATGACACATATGTAATTTGACATACTGGTGACATTACTATGGAAATGATGTAAATTCCAAGGAACTCTTATTTTTTAGAGATTTAACGTTATTTGCTCTTCTATACAAATAAAAATTTTGCAATATAGATCGAAAATATATCAATATAAATGTAAATGTCATAATATAAATAAACAGTATTGTACCAAGCGAGATAGGTGCCCCAAACTTCATAATTATTTTCTAACATGACATTGTTCACAACTTAGTTCATGGAGTTTTGTAACGTTTCATTATGTATTTGTATGTAAGTCTAAGTATAATAATACAAAGTACAAGAATTATTTTGTTTTCGTAGGTTCTTCTCCTGCCTTTAGTGCAATCATTTTTTGTGAGTTGAGGGAATGAGATAAATACTACAAAACTTGTAGTAAGACAATGTACAATGAACTACAATGGGAATATGCCAGATTGGCACCAATATAATACCTCACAAACAAATGAAGTTACGTTATCTACACAAAATGTGAATTCTGGTCACCTTTCATTCGTTCCTAGCGTTGGTGCACCGCCACTGAATGCAATTAATCTTAATTCAGAGGGTTTGAACAAGCATCAGAACAATACAAATTTCAATCCAAGAAATTATCAGTCCTACAACAATGTTCCGAATGGCCCGAACATTCCAAATAACAACCCTCTTGCATCTATGGTGCAAATGCAGAATTGCATTGGTCATTATGGTCCTCCGAATACCAGAAATCCTGTGTTGGACAATATCAATGCTTCTGTGGATCCAAGGAACACTACAGTCGGGAATATAAATGATGAAGCAGGATATAGAAACAACCAGGTGCCTTATCATGGAGCTATCACTCACTTGACTGGGTCTAGCTGCAATTTGAATACATCATCTGGACCAGGGGTCGCACCTGTTGCTGGAACAAGAAATAGTTCTGGAGCAGGACTCGGAACTAATCCTGGTAATGGAACTGGTCCTGGTCCCATATTTGGTCCGGGTCCAAGGCATGGTCCTGTATCAGGACATGGATCGGGTTCTGGATCTGGAAACATGGGACCAAGAAATGCTAACATGGGTTCTGTACCGCCTGGAAAATCGTCCGCTTCATTCATCCCTTGTAAAGGTTTGTGTTGTAATTCAGAACCTACCATTAATTATCAGCAGTGGGAAAAATTTGGATCCTATCAAAACAACACTTCATACAGGGATAATGTACACCCACCTAATTATCAAATGGAAAACAGGCATTTCGGGAATAATTGTAATTTTAGAAAAGATAATTTAGATGGCAAAGAAGTAATGGGTTCTGTGTTGCCGAACACGTCCGCCGTAGATCATAGAAGAAATTTTGTAGATTACAAATATCATAAGGATCATTTGATGCATAGAAATTACTCGAACTCGTCGGGAATGTTTCATAATTATCCTATGCAAGGTTACAATTATTCGGCGGAACATCAGAAATATGCTTATCCCTCGAAGGAGCACATGAAAACGAATAATATGAACATACCGAATTCAGAGATGGTTAAGCATCAGGAACAGAACTTCATGGTTCAACAAAAATTCAATAATAAACAATTTCAGTACCAAAATGGAAATATGTTACCGAAAGGAATGCCTGGCTTAAACGTGAACGCGAATATAACATCGTCTACACAGAATCCTTACTTTAATTCGCAATTTCCGAGAAACGTTTCCACGGAAATGTCACATGAACGTCAAGAAACCACCGATAATACTGCAATGCCGAATAGAATGCCGAGTACTCTTATGCATAGTTCTCCTCCACAGCAACAAGTGTATCAGCATAAAATAGCAATGCAGAAATTTTCAATAGAGAATTGTCTTAACGAACTGAGCAGAATACCTGGTTATCAGTCGCATCCGAAGTACAAGGAATGTGTTCTCAAATACAGAGAAGTGTTAAAACTACAGCAGTCCTCTGGTTATCAAAATCCAATTCAATCAACTTCGCGCGTAGCAACACCTGTGAACACCACGGTGCCGCCAATTAATTTACAATTCGATCAGAACGGAATGCTGATAAATTCTAGCTACCTTTCTGACGGTTTTACTAAACTGCAACCTACACCTATTGTACAACAAGCGACGGAAAGCATAGACAAACAGAATAAAGATCATGCTTTAACTAACGAAACATGTCAGCAGTCGCAGTCTGCGGAGCAGTTAATGATCTCTTCGCAAAATGAACATGTACCTTCTTCTCCTTGCGCAGAAACGTTTCAGAATCAGAATCAATTCTCGATGCACAAGGACTTCAACCAAAACCAATTGAAAGTCCAAACGAGCAAAAATCATAATCTCAATACATTGAGCGATAATAATAGTAACGAAACAATGATGCAGCAAAAAGCTTCTAAAGAGCTTGCCAATAAACCAGTCCTAGATGTTCGACAATTTTTGGCTAATTGGGACGAAACCGATGACGAAGAAGAAACGACAAATTTACCGAATACTGTTTTAAGCGAAACGACTCCTGTGGTTGTGGTAAGCTACGAGAATGTAGATCTTTCGTCGAAACGACTACGAGGAATAGAAGCATCAAGAAGAAAGAGCTTTTGTTCGAACGAAGCATTAGAAAATGAAAAAGAAGATGAAGCGAACCTAGTAACAGCCGAAGGTTTGACAATATCTTATTCTTCTCCGGTTGATGATCCTGAAATCACCAAAACGTCCAAGAGAACTATTGGAGAGGGTGTGGTGAAGCCTGGAAGTATCATACACTGTATTAGCAACGGGCCTGACGAGATACCCACAATTCATATAGTGGACAATTTAGAAATAAGCAACATCCTTGGAGCGTCTAATGATCAAGTTATTCAGACTCTAGAGAAGCAAAAGACAATATCATTCTTTAGGGAATCGAGCAGCAACGAGACAGAAGCGATGGCTCTTGAAAGTACAGAGCAACAGGATAAAAGTGACACTAACGTATTGCCGGCAAATTATGGAGAACCTTTGGATGATGTTAATAAGGAGGAAGCTAGAATTTCTGAGTCTATGGAGGCAGATAATCAGGAATTAGAAACTCTATCAGAGACAGCAAAAACTAATCTCGATGCTTCTGATAATGTAGAATTAGAAAAACAACGGAGCTTTGAGGAATCTCACAATACTGATGATATAAGTCTACCAGACTTACCAACTTCGGAGTGTACACCAATCTCCACTACGTTGAACACTCCGATTCAATCTGATAGTGAAGAATCATCGGAGAACATAGAAGATCTATCAATATCGACGAATCCCATAGAAGTGATGCAAAATAGTCCAGTGATCAGTTTCACGCAGTTGAGCAGCGACGAAGAGATAAAGAATAGGACGCTTGGTAGTTTAGCATTGGGTTTGCAGAAAGAAAATCGTTACAAGAGTGATGAGGGTAACGCTAGCCACGAGCAGGAGATAACGTTACATAATTTCGACTTCTCTGTCAATCCAAAGTCGAAATCGAACGAAATAATTAAGAATAAGCAATTGAAAAGTCTCGGGCTCAACACTGTGAAGAAGAAGGTATTTCTAAGCGATGGTAAAGAGAGTGAATCCAGAATTTCGAATACTTGTGGAATTTTAACACCGATAGAATACGAATTGGAAGTTCAACAGGAGACAGTGAACAATGAAAAGAACTTGGATGGTGGGTCTCCGGCTTGTACGCTCGAAGAGAGGAATAAAGATGTTAGACGATCGAGAGAAACAATTAAAACTGCGACTCAAAGAAATGATTCAATAGAAAATTTGAGTCCAATAGAATCTAGCGATGAAATAGGGCCGAAAAATGAAAGTGATTACTTTAGGAAAAAGAAAATGAAAATTCTTCACTCAACTAATGCTACTTGTTCAATATCCTCCGAAATTGATTCAAGAAAAGCTAGAAAAAGTTTAGATAAGAATTCAATTCAAAAGAAGACTATTAATCATTCGAGACCAGCGAAAGGTCTTGAAGTAAGAAAATTCAATGATCCGAGCTCATCACAAGCTGAAGAAAAATCTGTGTGCCATATGACTTCTCGATACAAACACTATTCTGTTGCTGTGATAAAGGATAACGCTACTATAAGTGACAAAAGATCTTATGGCACCACAGACAGAATACCAGGCCGTGAGAAAGTGGCTCAATCTAACACAGGAGTTTTTACATTTCATGAGACCTTTAAACTGTTACAAAAAGATCTGAAAGCTGTAGACGGAGATGTTAAATACACTGCGGAGGAAATACGTTTGCTAAAAGAGTACAGGAAGAAAAAAGAAAAATTTCATCAAGCTCACGATACACAAAATAATAATAGTAAAGATAATAAGATAAAATGTAGGAAAGTTGAAGAGCAAATCATCCAGAAGGCCGATAAAAATTCATCTTACCATAGGAATAAGTTGGAATGTTCTCAACTTAAACAGAATAACGATATGTTGGTGACACATAAGGTGGGCTTTGAAGAAAATTCTGTAGTTAGCGTACATTCACAGAATGTGGAGGCACAGAAAGAAGGAAAAAGTCACTTAGGTACGAAGAGTTTGGAAAAAGATATTGATTTTGGAATTCAAGTTGCTAACGTAAACCTGAAAATTAAAGACAGTGATGTTGATAAAGAATTAATTGTAGGGAGAAAGAACCAGGAACATGCAAAGGACTCTATGGAAAGGATCAAGATAGAAATTAATGTATCTTGTACAGACAGAAGTTCTAAGGAACAGGAGCAGAATAGAAGATTATTATATGACGATCGTAGTATGTACAAGATTGACGATTCGCCTTCTTATTCGGATACGTTTGATGGCCAACGAAGATTAAACGCCAAAGATCAAGAAGAGAAAACTCGTAGAATATCCGAGAAATTCACTGTAGCAGTGGATGTTACTGAAGCGAATAAAATTAAAAATGACGCGGGGATGAAGTTAAATACCTCGCTAAGAAAAGGACGAAGAACTTCGTTGGATACGAACGAAGAATGTAACACTACTAGGATTTCCAAAGACACGTGCGATATACCTTTGGACAGTCAGTCTTTTAACAAATCTAAGAATGCGGAAACAGTCGATGCTTCTAACTGCGGTACTAACCACGTCGATATAATTAAGTCAAAGAGTGCAATATCAAATACTGCCATAATTAATGCGAATGTTACTAAATTTAAGGGGAATAAACCCGAGGGGAGCAAAGAAAATGATTCTACAGGTGTGAATGATGATAGAGCAGATGTGTCAAGCAAAATAGAAAAGAAGAGTTCTAAAAAACTGCCAGAAAGTAATTTGATCGATCTAAGTGCAAAGCCACTGAATAATTCGGATGGTTTGGATTTGAATCTTGATACACTGGTATATAAGAATGCGCGTAGCTATCACTTGGACGAGAAATCGGAGGAAAATGGTTATACGGGTAAATGGAAGAAGCCAAAGATAGACGACATTTTCGAAGACTGTAATATATTCCAAAGTAGCAGTGGGTATGTGAATCCAATCTTCTCGAGTATAGATAAGTTGGAAGATTTGCATACAGTTCCTGTATACACTACCAAAGATGGAAAAATATCCTACAGTCCTAATCGGAGGTTCACGTACCACGAGCTGATGATGGAGGCTCGTAAACGGGAGGCTTCCTCCTCTACAAGGAAATACCACTACGCGGATACCTGGAACAGCTATTACAACTCAAAGTTTCACAAACTTTATAAAAAGAAGCGGCAGCATGGCCTTGGCGACAAGAAGAAGCACGAATATAAAAATACCAAGTATATTTACGATAGAAAAAAGAATTATTCGGATGAGTTTTATAGCAAGAGTCACGTTAAGTACAAAGATTGTTTTCACAGCATTAGAAACAACAATGCTGTATGGTCCGATCACATGAAAATGTACAGCAGTAGCGATTCTGATGAGATCATAGATCGTAATAAGAATCAAATTGCCGAAGAGAATAATTTCGAAGAAGATCAAGATAGTCAAAATAAAACTGTAATAATTAAGTCGCATAAAGGTGAAACTATTCATGAAATAGATCTGAACAATAAAGATAATGTCGGCGACAATATCTTAGATAAACATCAACAGCCAATTCAATCTCAAATTTTTGATGCCGACAAGGAAAATGAAACCTATAAAAACGCTAATAATAATAATGCACAATGGCATCCACCCGTATCTCAGCCATCGAATAATGACAAAGATAATACCGATTGTATCGATAAAACTGTATCTGCAATTCCGGAAAGTTTATCAGAAAATCTTATCAATAATGAAAGTAAAAATTTGGATGATGCACTTCCGAATACAGTTATGGACATAGTTGGAAACGAAATTACTGAAGATCAAGAGAATATGCGTTCAAATGATGACCTGTTAATTTCAAAATTGCTCAAGGATAAACCTTCATCCGATGAGGATAAACAAGTGTCTGGATCGTGTAATTTAAAAGAGAAAACGGATGACAAAATTAATTCCAAAGAGATACACATTGAACAGCAAAGTGAGGGAATTGAGACAAAGAAGCTTGACGAGACTGATCCGCCTGAGTCAAGAAATAGTACGAGAAATGTAGGATACGCAGAGTCTAGCAACAGTTTGGAAACTGATAAAAGTAATATAACAGAATTTGGAACAGAAAAAGAAACTTTAGAACTGCATAACAACTTTGATGATGCAATTGATAAAATCTCGAAAGCATCTTCAGAACTAGAATCATGTAATAATGCAAGTAATGCAATATTAGAAGAATCTGAAGAGAATATTAATAAAAGTACTATTTTGGAAACTACACAAGAAAATACAGAAATTAACGAGGAGATCGAAGTCCGGAAAGACGATAATGCGGAGGATGAAAATATGAAGAAGGATATACAAGAAAATAGCGAGTTTTTGCAACACCAAACTAAAAAAGAAGACACTTGTATGGTAATCGAACAAAAATCTGAATCTCGAGTAGTACAAATATTGAATGTACTAATCGATCAAAAAAGTAATTCGGATGAAAGCGTCAACCTTGAGGATAAGACTGGCATGATTTCAGAGAAAAATGATAATGTAATTATTGAAGAACAAAGTTTCATTGGTTTTTCAAAAGATGAAATTTGTACTATATCTTTGAAAGATCAAATGGAATTTATTTTACCAGATACAGAAGAAACCTCATTAGAGCTTGAAGTAAGAAATAATTGTTTAGCGAATGGAAGTTACTTGGATAATTCAGCTGGTATTTCTGAGAACGAAACAAATAGCAACGTAAATCTTTCGGTAGAAGAGGAAATGCCTGTTTTAGAGATGTGTTCCGTCAAACAAAATTCTCCTACTATGGTTAGTGAGAGAGATGACAAAGAAGTTGAACATGAACCAAATTCTTTGGGACAAGTCTCTTGCACAAGCTCAGATCATACAGATGTAAAAACAGTACCCAAACTGATTATAAAGAAAACTGATAACGTACATTCAAATTCAGAATGTTCGTTAGATTGTACAGATTTCGCCGGAAAATACGATGCGAAATTACTGTCTGACGCGCGTCCAAAAATACCAAAGATGATTATTATGAAGAGTAGATCCCGTTCCGCAACACCAACAATCGAAATTTTGGAAAAAGCTAAACCCGATAAGGCTTATCTTCCGGAACAGAACGATGAAAATATGGATGTGGATAATAGCGACACCGAACAGTATACTTTAAAACACAATAATTATGAGAACAAAGTGCCTAAAGTGAAAATAAAATTGGAGGAAATATCGTCCAAAGATTTAAAATTATATTTAAAACGGAAGGCTGCTAAAAAGAATATTCCAAAGACGAGAGTTAAGAAAATGAAAATACAGGAATCAACGGATAGTTCTGAAACAGAAGCCACAGATTTGGATGAAGAAGATAAAGATTTTAATGAATCAATAACCAGCGACACAGATGCTGAAAAAGTACCTAAATTGAAATTGAGGAGACAAGAGGAAGAGAGAAATAGAAATTCAGAAAAAGATTTGAGTGTTTTCAAGTTTTCTTCGAAACGAGGTAGGAAGAGAAGAGAAGAGGACACAAAACATGGCGCAAAATACGATAGCACTAAGATCATCAATGAACAACTAAAGAAAAAATTTCCTCAGTGTATACTTGAAAAAATTCCAAAAGTCATAATAAAAAGAACGCAAATTGGTGCAGAGTTCAAGTGTGAAATTAGTAAAAGTAAAAAGATTTGGGTCGCTGAAACTTCCAAATGGCAACCTAGAGTTAAATTACAGAGATTAGAGGTTTTGGATCATATGGTAAAGGATTTGAGGCAATCAAAAATTACAATAAATGATAAACTTGAGTCATTTATACAATCCAAAGATTATATTATCAACGATGATAAGAAACATGAAATTCATGAAAGCAAAGGAAAATTGTTCAGATCCAATTCAGTATCCGATTTACCTGCTGTAAAGTATAAACAAAGACGACTATCAGATTTTAGTTGCATGAAAGTAGATTCGAAATTGGTTGAATTGAATTTGAATAGTGAAAAGAGAAATATTAACGAAGGAGTTAGGGAGAAATCATTCTTTGAAAATAGAGAAGATCACAACGACCATAATAGTGAAAATGAGAAAGAAATTGGGATGGAACATACGTTTAGAAGTGTTTTAGACAACGACTTGAGTGTAAAGAGAGAATATTCGTCTTTTGGGATCAAAGAAGATATACCTTCTGTAGAAATTAAATTTCTAAATTCTGCCATGAGTTCATGTAATACTAGAGATAATAGTAATTCAATAATTGAAGTTGATACCTCGGATGAAAGTCAAACTACAATAGAGATTTTACCAGCGTCGCCAGATTGTAGCGTGGATGAAGCAAAAAGCGCAGAATTTGTAAGTGGACTAAATGCAGATGATGCGATACCAACTCAATTGGAGTTGGAATTAGAGCTTATGGATAACAATCTGCGTTCAGGTATGCTTGCCTCAAGAAGTGAATGTTTATCATATTCTAAAAACAAATATACCAATAGCGGATCAAGCAACTCGTGCTTCAACGAATTGCCACGTTCCTCGCAGAATAATATTTGTCACAATTCTATGGGAAGTACAGGGTCGAACGATTACTTTTATTGTAATGATTTGTTAGTTAAAGAAGTGTTGACTGCTAAAGAAACATTGAAGAAATGTTTATCGCGATCGGAGAATACAGACGTAGAAAGAATAGGATCGAGGCCGAGAACTGTAGCTGAGAAGAAACAGGGTTTAAGTTTCAGTTTAATAGGTACTGGAAAATCTAGTACCTGTGATAATAAAATGAAAGTAAACAGAAAGCTCAACAGTTCGGGAAAGGAAGAACATGAATTTCATTGTAAGATGAACATGGAAACTGTTGAAGAGAGATGTTCGAAGCGGGAAAAAATATATTCTGGGGAGCATTCCACAGCCTCTACATGCGAGGATAGTAGTGTACCTGAGCCGACTACAATTTCTTTAAAGGCTTCGAAGAAATTTGGTCAACCAACTGCGAACGATAATGACTCGGAAGAATCGCAAGAAGAAAAAGTTGAAAAGAAAACTGGCAACAACACCGAGGACCAAAAAGATCACGATAGTGCAAATGAAGTGAAAACTAAGGAAGACAATATGCCGTTATTAGTGCCAGAATTTGCTTTAAGCTTCGATTCCAGTTCAGATAGAGACAGCTCTAGATCTCCACCCGTTATAACGAATCCAGAAGAGAACGAACAAGTAATAGAGGATACGAAATTGATAGAAAACAAAGTGATAAATCAAACTGAGAGAGTAGATGAGAACAAAAAACATTCCTATAAAGACTGTGAAATGAGCATCACTGATATTATAATGCAATTAGCTTATCATGAGAAGGTGAATATATTTAAGTACTTTAATAGATTAGAAAAGTTCTACAGTATAGTTGATCTTAATGGTTTATTACAGGCAACAATAAAACATAAAAGATATTGTAATTTGTGCGAGAGATGGTTTCCATCAACTGAGCGACATCGTCAACACTTAATTGGATATCAACATCGCTATATGGAATTGAGCCAGCGTAAAAGTATTCATGCTCTTTTTATTCTGTTCACTGGCAAACCTTGTCCAAGACTTCTGCCGTCACACACACTTCGCAGTGATTGTTCCATAGGAGAACTGACGCCTTTGCAAATTGCTGTTCAGGTGAGATTATATTTTGTAGGATTTTTGGGTTTGTAAATAAATTATTAACGATCATTTTTACTGAATTGTCTTATAGGATGTCGCAAACTGCTTACAGTATACACAACCGCATAGTAAAACGAAAGAATGATGGCAAAGAGTTATTACGAATTATTTGGCCTTCATAGTTGCATCTCCTGTAATTGGGACAAATGGTGTGAGTACCCCCACGAAAATATGTACTATATCGATGAACCATGAAATTAATTTTGTGGCACTTTTAATGTCAGTGGAATTGTACATGGTGACCATAATTACTACTTTTTGGTAATTATATTATTATTATATATATACAGCATTGTTCACTTGGGTAGCCTCGAATGGTCCATATTACTCTTTCGTAGGAAATATGTAATATGAATAAAATAATTTAGATATGTAATATGATGAAATGTGGAATTGTAAATAATTTTTCTCTGATTTATCGTAAAACATCAACTAACTGTGAGCAAACGCTTGAGATTATTCATATAGAATCCAAAAGCATCAATATAAACTGATGTCATCTACTAATTTATAATGCAAACGGATCTAACTATTCGGCAAGAAAATTCAACGAAATACTTTTTTTCGACATATGCTTGAATTTATATATCAATTTTTACCCAAGGCTATTCAAATGAAGTGGACTGTATACGTG